CCCTCCACCCTCCAGCCACGCCCCTCTGTCGTCGCGTGTTTAGCAGCGTCGCGCGCGCTGATTTTTGGAGACCTTGCAGGGCTGGTGGTGCCAGATTTCAAGGGCCGCTCACTTAGGCTCAGGATTTTTTTTTTTTTTTTTAAGAATGGGGGAAAATTAATTTATATTAGTAGTTTCCAACGCGAGACTAAAAGTAGGGTGTCTGAAATAACGCGATGATCAGACACCCTTCTCCATCAATTAAATTAGGCCCTGTGGGCTGATATTCAGGTGTCAGTCGTTTCAAAGCAGCCCAGATGGTTCCAAAGAGCAGCCAAGTTTGAGAAAGACGGGTTTAGAATGTCTTGAAGACAAGTCTAATAAATATTTCCCCTGGCCCCAGCCAAGCTCAGGGCCTTCCTTCTTGCTCCGCTCCCACAACTCCCCCAATACAACCTCTTCCTAGAAGTATGAGCCAGGTGCAAAAAAGCAGAAAAGGAAACAGCGCTGGGGTGGGAGGGGGCGAGTCAGGAGGGTTTGTCTTCCCGGACTCCATCCCAAACAGAGGCATTGGAGCGCAGGTATCCGGAAGTCAGTAGGCCAGGAGGGCTGTGAGGGGGGAGGGTGACTCCTGAGAGGACGCAGGATCTGGTGTTGTCCACATTTCCTCACTTTAAAATGATGACAAAAGGGGAATATAATGTTCTAAGTGAGGGGGTAGCAATGTTTCAGAAGCATCGCTACTGCACGTCCGTCCCGGACTCTGCTGGGACAGCTAGACGCAGATGAACAAAACCCAGTTCTGAACGTAGAAGTCCTAGTTTGGGGCCAGGCACTACACAAACAGAACAGTAGGAACAGTAGGTGGAGGGGACGTGGGCACCCATCGTGTGAGCCCGGCTTGGTGACCTTTCCAAACCCTTCAGTTCTGTTACATTGTTTTTCAGAATAGAAGGGACTCTCTGGCCACTGTCCTTTCGGAGAGGGGGAAAGCTCTCTCCCTGCCTTGATTTCCCCGCATCCCGGGGAGCCCTACACCAGGACAGCCGAGGCTTCCTGTCCTCCTCCGCTGATGAGACAGTGCTAGAAAAGTTCTCTTGGCCAATTAATTCTGTGTGTTTATCAGTATATGTTTGCAGGGTATAATAATTACATTCCTCTTGGGGGACTGAAACAGATGCGTATTGTATCTCTATCATCCTTAGTTCTCCTTCCCTCCTCCCCTGTATCCACTCCAGAGTCTGCCTTCCTATTTCCTACCATCTCCTTTTATTTTCATCTTTATACTTTTCATGTTTTTTGGTCTCTCCTATTGAAGAAACCTTGCAATATTCAACCTTCTGTGTCTCTTATTTTACTTCATATTGTGGTCTGAAGATCTAACCATTTTCCTACAAATGACTTAATTTGATCAGGCCTTGTAAACATTCACCAGTTCTCTCATTAGCCCCATCCCTTAAGAGAGATGAAGTCCGGCACATCTTTCCTACTCTGGATGTATTTCTATTTACACATTTAATGTTATTTTTCATTAAACTAGCCCCTGCTAGATTACTACCAGGAGTGGTAGATGGCCACCCAGGTAAGAGGGAGGAGCGTGAGGGCAGAAACATAAGGTTATCCCCACTAGACAATAATGTTACACAGTTCTTGGTGAGAGAGGGGAGGCCCTCCGGCTATGCTCAATGGACACAAGAGGGCAAATAAACATGAACCAGAACCCACGCCTCTCCCCAGAGACAAGAGCCCCACACAATGCTGGGCCTTCATCATTGACAAAGTCCCTCTTCGAATGGCATGTCACTGTCGGATGGTTCCACGAAGCCAGCGATCATTCTGGTCTTTCCATTGTTGTGTTCACTCCAAAACCTAGTGGCTTACGAATAGCCATCATCTTATTATTTCTCACCGTTCTTCACTGTGGCGAGTGAGGCTCACCTAGGACTCCGGTGTGGCTGGCCTTCTCTTTCTGTCCACCCGGTGACAAAACCTTTTTCTTTTCACATGACCTCCTCCCGTGATCTCTCTGTATGTTCCGTCCAGCGCAGAAGTCACATTTCTTGCTCAGGGCTGCTAAAAGCCAGCCATCCTGGATAAACCTAAATGTGTGTTGCTTGTTAAGCCCTTACTTGCTAATGCTCCTCCACCTAAAGCAAAGCATGTGGCCAAGCCTCGATCTAAGATGGGAAGGAGCTACTCGGGAAATGGAAGTGGGTGGCCCAGTTCACGGGGGATCGCCCAAATAACATGGACATCCATTTGTTCTCTTATGTTTTATCTTCATGTGAAAGCAAGTGACATCAGAGAATTTATCAAACAACCCTGGGACCCAGGTCTTCTGTAGTAAGTCCAGTGGGTCACTGGTTGAGAATATGTCCGCTCATTCTTCCAATACCATTTCGAAACAATTACGTGTGCAACTCTGAGTGGGAGACAAAGATGATCAGACACCCAGAGAGAGCGTATCAGATGGGTGCTCACAGCGTAGGTGGGGAGATGTGACCAGGAAGCAGTGTAGACGGTGATATACTCTAGAGGACCATAGGGAGAATGCTGAAGAGATCTAGAAGATAAAAAGAAGAAGCTTCACAAATGTCTGTGCCTTCCCTTTCTCTGAGTCTCTTCTGGAGCTGCTCACTTCCCGGCCCCGTCGCTGTCTTCCACGTGTGCTCATACTTGGTGTCTCTGTCTGAGTCTGAGGAAACTTGCTGATCGCCTTCTTTCAATTCTTCCTGGGCCCTTTCAAAGACGGAAGGAAAGCAGAGGCTCCCGAGATCTGGAACTGCTCTAAAAACAAGAACAACTCTGGAAAGAAATCTCTTTCAGAATCATTTCCCTAAAAGGTGTTCTCTGTTTTGAAATTCTGGAGATCAGACTTTTGCCCAGCCAATGATTTCCCCTATCTTATAATTTCCAGAATTCCAAGGCAGAAGTGAGGTGCAGTGAATGGCCTTGCTTTCAGCCGGGCCGGGGCAGGTGCAAGGCCGCCATGTTGGCCCTGGCCCTGCAGGGTCTTCACAGTGTGGGCAATGCCTACATTTCCAGTTCCAGGGCCGGGGGACTTAGTTCGGCACACAATGGCTGCCCCTGTACTCTCCTGGGGTGGCTGAAGGTGAGCACTCTGATTATGAAGAGCTTTGTACACTGGTGAGCCAAAGCTCTAGATGAAACTGTTTGTCCTGTTGCCAGAAAGAGTACTTTGTCTGGGGAATTAATTCAGAAGTGAAAAGCATCCATACACCTAACCCAGGTTTGTCCTTTGTCTCCTTCCTGAAACCCCTAACCTCCAAGGAAAATTATATTTCACTAGCCTAACTGTGGAAGACCCTCGAATCTATCCTCCGAGGGTAGGAACATGCAAATCGAAAACAAACACTGGAAACGTTTGCAGGGAATGGTAAGCTCTTCCTCAAGGGTGACTCATGGAAGGGGTCATGGCTGGACTTCCCTGTTCTTTCCTAAGCCCTGTTCAGTAGATTTGAGTGGCAAAGACTAAGGCAGGTTGGTATAAGAGATACTGAAACAGTCATGTGTGTATTTAAAATCAGAGAATATTAGCAGGCTCGCGTGGTGGCTCAGGCCTGTAATCCCAGCACTGGGGAGGCTGAGGCAGGAGGATGGGCACAAGTTCAAGGCCAGCCCAGGTGACATCATGAGTTCAAGGCCAGCCTCCATTACAGTGAGATCATGTCTCCAGATATTAGGATTTACGTATGCGTGATAGGAAAGCAGAGGAAGGAAAACCGTGTAGAGGAGAAAGAAAGGCATGAATGTGGCAAAGAGGGGGAAGCATGGTGAAAGGGCTTGGAATCAAGTGAGCACCGGGTTTGAAGCCACATATACCTCGGTACCTGCGGCCACCGCGGCAGACAGCAGCAGCTTAAAGAGGAGAACACATACCTATCGTGGGCTTGGCTGTGCTCTGGTGCCATGTCCAACCTTTTAAGTGGATCTGCTCATTCATTGCTCCCAACCACAGTGTAGGGTGGGCGGCGGCATTGTTAGACCCGTTCTACAGGAGAGAAGGGTGAGGCTGTTGAGCGATGGGCTGTGTTCCTGCGGCTGGCTCCTGTGCAGACAAGCTGTGAGCTAAGAACAGCCCTGCTTACTCGGATGCTTGTGCTCTTTACCTCCACCCGGTAAGGGGAAGGCAAACGCCCCATTCTGGAAACTCAGTTTCCACCTAGCTCAAACCCTGCCCGCGTCCCGTGACCTTCCATAACCTCTCTCATGCCCGATTCTCTTTGTGTGACACAGAAACCGATGTAGGTATCTCCCAGCTTGCAAGCTGACTAGAAGAATTAAGAATTAACTGACTAGAGGAAAGTACATTCCAAAGGACGGACACATGGGAGGCCTTGCTAAATCAGGGTGTCTTTGCATCCTCCAGTTTCTCTGCTCCTTTGTGGAGACGCTCCCTCCTGTGAATCTGTGTAGCTCTTTATTTAGCCTGTGATATCAGACTCTACTTTCCATCCAGACACACGAATTCTTTTTTCCACCGTTCACCGGGGGCAGCTACACTCTTGCTCCCTGTCTCCGGATACAACCTGAAGTTTAATAAAAAAATCAAACAGAGCAGATTCCTGAGGGCCACTTGACCAGCGTAGGGAAGAGAGGCCTATAGTCTATATCTACTGAGTGGTGAAGGACTAGAAGTTGGTTGGTTAAGTAGCACTTTCAAATGTTTCAAGTCCAGCATATACAGCTGCAAGTGGAAACCATTGAGGCAGGAATCGGATGACTCGGGATCTACTATTTAACTTCCCCAGGGCCAAGTCTTGATCGGGTGTACCAGAAGCAACTTCCATCATCCACGCTC